CAGGGATTTTTCTAACTATCTCTCTCCCTTCCTCTCTGTAAAAAATCAATAAAATATATATTTTTTAAAAAAGTAAGGCTCTTAAAAAAAAAAAAAAGAACACAGTGCACAAGACACTAGAACCATGGGTGAGAAGTGGCAGTGTCTGTCCTCCAGAAACAAAATGTCATCTGACACCAGACCCCCCATCACGCAGGCCAACTGCCGAGGTCTGTCCTGCATGGCCTGTGCCCTGAGCCACTCGCCCACCAGTCGGCCCCACCTGAGGCGAACTCCCGTGGGGCCTGCCAACTCCCGTGGGGCCGGCACCATAGGGCCTCCTGACCAGTCCGCGGCCCGAGCCTGCCGCCTCCTTTCGCGGTGCCATTCCCGGAGTGGGTGAGGGCGCAGTGGACGCCCCAGGACACCCGCAGGCCAGCGGTGGAGTGGGACAGGGCCTGGGCCGGGTCCTCAGAGCTCAGCGCACCCACACCAACTTCCTCTGGCCCTGCACCCACCACAGCCTCAGTGAGATCCAATTCCAGGCTTTTGTCGATCAGGCCTTTCCCTGCCTTCCAGGCCATCCCAGAGCCGCTGGCATCTCCATCCTCAGCCTCCTGGGGGGTTCCACAGGGTGGGGGTTCCACACGGGTCTGCAAACAGGTGGGCAACATCGGCCTCCGCCACGTCCCCGAGGCCCACGTGGCTGGCTAGTGCCCCGATGCCGTGGCGGATCTGGGGTCGGTGTCGGGCTCCACAGTACCAGGGGAAAAAGTAAGGCTCTTTAAAAAAAAAAAGGAAGAACACAGTGCACAAGACACGAGAACCATGGGTGAGAAGTGGCAGAGTCTGTCCTCCAGAAACAAAATGTCATCTGACACTAGGCCCCCCATCATGCAGGCCTGCTGCCAAGGTCTGTCCTGCATGGCCTGTGGCCTGAGCCACTCGCCCACCAGTCGGCCCCACCTGAGGCGAACTCGGACTTCATGCCAACTCCCGTGGGGCCGGCACCACAGGGCCTCCTGACGAGGCCGCGGCCCGAGCCTGCCACCTCCTTTCGCGGATCTGGGGTCGGTGTCGGGCTCCACAGTACCAGGGGACACGCACTCGGGCCAGAGCTTCCTCCAGGCTCTGTTCATGGTGGCGGCTACAGCTCTGCCAAGGCCTGGGTGATGTTGTCCACGGCCCTCCTGACGGTATAGCTCCGCCAGGCCTCCACCAGCCTTCTCCCAGACCAGCTGGCCCAGCGTGCGGCGCAGGTAATGGGCCTTGAAGGCGGCGATGACGCCACACGGGTCTGCAACAGGCGGGCAACATCGGCCTCCGCCACACCCCCGAGGCCCACATGGCTGGCTAGTGCCCCGATGCCGTGGCAGATCTGGGGTCGGTGTCAGGCTCCACAGTGCCAGGGGGCACGCACTCGGGCCAGAGCTTCCTCCAGGCTCTGTTCATGGTGGCGGCTGCAGCTCTGCCCAGGCCTGGGCGATGCTGTCCACGGCCGTCCTGACGGTACAGCTGCGCCAGGCCTCCACCAGCCTTCTCCCGGACCAGCTGGCCCAGCGTGCGGCGCAGGTAACAGGCCTTGAAGGCGGCGATGATGCCCTGGCTCATGGGCTGGACCAGGGCCGCCGTGTTCCTGGGCAGGAACTCCACGCGCACGTGGGCGGAGAGGCTGCCCAGGTGGGAGGGTGGCAGGGAGCGCTGTCCAGGAGCAGCAGGGCCAGGTGCAGGAGGCCGTTGCTG